AAAATGAACTCTTGTTAAAAGTGACTCCTTCCTCGCCTCCTCCAGAGGGAACCCCGGTGACCATGAGCCTCTACAAGCATAGCTCGCTTATGCAGGAACCAGGACTCTCATGCCAAACTGCTGGGACTGCCCCGGCACCCAGGTAACCTCTGACTCCGGAAGTCACGCTCACAACCTGCCCCCCATCGCCATCTTTACAGCACACAGCTGTAAGAAAGGCCGTGGGGGAGGGGGGGCGGTGGGTGCTCCACAGCTCCCGAGGAATGCTCCAGGTCCCAAAGAGAGCCGAGATCACCGGGAAGTCCCAGATGGGGTAGCTGCCGCATCCTGTCTCCTCCAGAGGGAACCCCAGTGACCATGAGCCTCTACAAGCATAGCTCGCTTATACAGGAACCAGGACTCTTACTCCAAACTGTGCGGCCACATGAGCGGCCACGTGACATCTCCTTATATATAAAGTGGTCAATGGAAAGCAAATTCTCCAACGGTTCTCCCTGAAAATCAGGCTTAACTCTTTTACAAACCACAACACCCAATAGGAAAGAGAGAACAAAAGGGAATGCCCTGCCACAGAGGCAGGGTGGGATGGGGATGGGATGGCGGGTGGGAGGGTTACTGGGATCTGTGGTGGTGGGAAATGGTTACTGGTGGAGGGATGGGTATTCAAATAAATAAATAAATAAATAAAGTGACTCCTTCCTAATCCCATCTCCTTTGGTGTCCCATGGGGGAGGGAGAAATACCCCCCAAAAAAAGAAAGAAAAAAAGAAATGCTAATTCAGGAGCAAGAGATAGGGTGCCTGGTGAAGCACTTGCTTGCACACATAGATTTGATCCCTGACATTACAAATGGCCCCCTAAGTCTGGCCAGGAGTGATGATCCCTGAGCACAGAGAGAGAAGGAAGTCCTGAGCATAGCAGAGGCTTTTATTTTACATGACTCCCAAAATAGAGAGAGAAATAAAAATCATTATATTTTACAATTATTTAAATCATAAAGTGGTCAAAGCCCAAGAAAAAGTAGATATTAGCTGTACCTGGAAACACTTTGAACCTGAGTGGTGAGAATGAAGGGAAAAATTTCTAGTTATTTAAGAATTACTCAAAAACCATCCCTCAAGACCTAATTTGAGTCCCTCCTTCTGTGCTGTGACTCATTTCTCTACCCAAAGACTAGGTACTGGGTGAGTTTCACTATGACACAATCCACCAGTCCACTTGAAAAGAGTTACATCATTCCCAGTGCAACGTGGGAGCCAGGCGCCAGGTAAATATTTGATGAGCAACATCCGATAGTCAACCAGAAGTCATGAGCTAACGACAAGGAGAGAGAAGTTGAGAAACACTTTGAGAGAGGCCTGAGCAAAATAAGGTGCGACTTTAGAGGTTTTGCCAAGTTCACCAGAGTCGGCTGAATAAAGTGCCTACGTTGGAGCTGTTTCTGGAGATGCTTCATGATTCACGCCTAAATCATACAAGATTAAAGAAAATACTGAATAAAATCAAGTCAACCATTAAGTTCGAGGGAAAGATTACATTGGATAAATTAGAAAAATATTGGTATTTGCTTCAGAGTAACCCACGTCTTTCCTCTGGCTTGAGGGGCAGAAACAATTTCAGTGGCAGATGGAGAGAGAATATGACTTATTTTAAGTGATCTTGCTTCTTCCTCCCACAGTGGCCACAGCCTTACCCTCACATGGTGCTAATCTGACAGCCTTGGCCAGAAGAGAGGGGAAATGTCCATTTCTAATTAGGATTCGATTATATGTCTGGGCTGAGAAGAAGGCAAGTTGAGTTTGAATGAGAATTCTCTGCCTGCACGCACTTGGCAGCTGCTGACAGCTGGCTACCCCTTACTCTGTCTGGGAATTCTAATCCCTGTGGGTCATAGGTTTCCAGGGGAAATTTCTAGGCTACCTTCTCCAGAAAAACTTAAGTGAATGAAAAAGAAGACAAGAAGATGGCTTTGGAGGATCCCTTCACTGACTCATCCCCTAAGTGGACTGATGAAGAAGAAGGAAAGCAAAAGTAGAAACCAATGACCAGAACAGAGAGGAACAAACCACTTGGATATCCAGAACCAGGACTATTCCATCCATGCAGATTCTTTTAACTCTTCATCCTCAGTTACTGCAGAGTATCTAATATTCTTATTGATACACCAAACACAGTAACAAGTCTCACAATGTTACTGGGCCTGCTCGAGCAAATTGATGAACAATGGGAGGACAGTGACAGTGACTTAAACAGGCAGACAATCTGGTTCTTCCCAGGGCAGTACTCACAAAGAACCTCACAATACAGATGGGTATCTGCCTGTAGTGTACAACAATATTGGTCATAAAAACCAGTCAGTCTGTATATAGGAACTACCAAAGGTTTCTTTTCCCAGTGATTAGCATAATAATCTGAAATCTGAGCCAATTTAATATTCTGAGTATGGTCGTTAGATCTTCAGTCCACTTCCTGCCAACACTTACTAACACCATAACTTCTCAACCTTTATAGCAATTGAGCACAGTTTTGAAAGGGCTAATAAAACACAAAAAGGGTGTTGAATCACCAGCCAAGATATATCAAGCATGATTAATTGTCTAAGACTCTTTGCTTACATTATCCCATTCAGTATGACAACCATCCTAAGGGACAAACACAATGGTTACAGCAGGATTCTAAAAAACAGTGACAGAGTCTCAAAGTCATATAGTTGGGATATGGGAGGACAAGGAGTCCAGGAAACTTGAAAGTTGTTAAAGTTGAGGTCTTGCCACCTCTCTAACATCCTTTTTCAAGAAGGAAGATGTAAAACTCAGGACAAAGTCAACATTCGTTTATTGATCACATTTAGATGGATCAGCTCATAAATACCTAATGCTTGGCATCAATTCAGATTTATTCTAAATATATCATGGTCTAGGGTCAGAGACAGATAAACAGAATAGATGGTCTATTGGCCAAGTTCTTCCTTATAGTTCTTGTCACAGATGAATTGCAAAATAGGCTCATCTGGTTTTGGTTCTCACAAGTGGGATGTGGCATATTGGCTTGAGTCATCATCAAATTTATGAAAACTTGACCCTGGCTTCACTTCGGTGAAACCTTTTGGTACAATGTTTCAACAGTGAGAAGAATAGAAATTATTTGCTATTTGTGAGTACTTGGTCTACCAGGAGATGATCAGTATTTATGGGTTGGCTTGTTTATTTAAAAAAAATTTATTTATTTAATTTTTAAGAACCTTTCAGCTGTCCTCTCAATGGCTACAGTTCTGGAAAGTACATCAAATGAACTATTCGCAAACAGACCATTGGCTGCATGACCAAGAGCTATAAAAGACTAAGCCATTATGAGTAAAATGTGCAGATGGGAAGTACTCATGGAAATGTTTCAGAGAGAAGAAAGATACCTTGGTGGCTTCTGACATCTGGTTCCATTTCATTCCTGGTTAAAAAGCTGATAAATGGAGCTAATTCATTTACTGGCAAAAGATCCAGGTTTGACTATTTCATTGACTCTCTTCTGTTGCAACTTGAAATAAACAGGCAGTGGAAGCTTATACTCAGTCAAACCAAATACGTAACCCCCTCTATTCCCAAAGTCAAATCTGACTGGGAAACTTGAAAATGGGTAATGTGCTAAGCTTTCTAGATTCAAAGATCCTCAGATTCAAATGTCCTTTAAACATTAAAAGTGTTTTTTTTCAATCAGACTTTTTAATAATCTGAGTTACATTTGAAATTAGCTAACCAGCTAACTCAATACTTTCATGATAGAAAGCTTGTTGAAATCGTCAGTCCCATCTTAAAGCATGCATATGGGATCCACATGATGTGGCTGGCTCTAACTCCATTAATACCAGGGTGATTAAAGTTGGATGACGATGGAGCTCAGACATGAACTCTTTCTAAACAATGATCCAAGTGAGAAGCAAACGGCCCCCACATTGCTTCACCAATAAACATTTGCATAGCAGGCATTGCCGCTATTTCCCAATTTTGATGAAAGGGGAAAAAGATGGTTGGGGTATATGGATACATGGAACTGTGCGTGGACATGTGGGTATATACTGTGATAGGAATGCCCTATGCTTTCTTAACTTTAAAAACCTTTGTTTATTATATTACTCTTTATACTCTAATATCTTCTTAAAGACTAGTGAAACATATATACTTCCAAAGTATTGTACTTCTTTCAACACATTACAATTAGTTCAGGAACGGCAATATGTAGCACATCCACTATCCATTGTCAATGCCCCCACAAGAATCCATCGAAGACAGTGCCAGGGAAGCATGGCTTCCTGCCCAAAACACCAGGCTGCCCTCCAGAATCCTGAACCCAGAGCTCCAAGCTGCCTCTCTCCTCAGGGATCAGAGTCAACATGACAGCAAAGACTGTCATGCACCTGGTCTCAGCCCACCCACTGAAGAGGTAAAATAATGCTAACAGAAAACTCTTTCATGTAAGGTCACCAGATAATGCTATAGGACATGGCTTAAGCAGAAAATGGAAAGATGGAGAAAATTTCAACTGTTTCAATTAAACAGAAAAGTATTGTTGAATATTTTCAAGGTAGGAGGCAAGGAGCTTAGGCTATGTAATTTGGGGGCAAATCCTAACATAATGAATTTTCATAGATCCCGGATCTAATTTGTTGTGTCAAATGCAACTCGTATTAAGTGGGTCTCAAGCTGGAGTGTGAGAGATCATTTGTTCTCTACAGGTATTCAAGCTTCCTAGCATTAAGCATTTCCTGTTATTGGTATATGTGAAATAAATAAGTAAACACATATTGATAGATATGTTTTTATAGTTAAATTATGATAGTGAGTACATTTATTCTAATTTATTTACATACTGCCTGTCAAAATGACAGTTATGAGCTATTAAAATAACCTTTAGGAGACAATACTATGAATTGAGCTTTTAATGTGAAAACTGCTTCTCACTATAGAACTACTGGAAATCATTTAAAATCATAAATGGATTTCTCTTACCAGTGGTCTGAGTTCTGGGTGCGTCAGGATATATCCATTATTTGTGATTGCAAAGGCATAACCGTGAATCCCTAACTGTAAAAAGAAGCGAGAAAGAAACCTTCATTAGCTTGCTCCCTGGTGAATTCACAAAGCACAAAGCAGTCCGACATTTAGTAATTTACAGCTTAAACTTGGCATTCATAACCCTTATCAGCACAATATTTCATTAAAATGAATGCAAGGCGCTGATCCTTGACATTCGGTAAAAATGAAGACCTGCCACAGGATAAGCTCAGCAAATAGCACGATTTAAAATGTCACATTCCCATGTTGGCATCCAAGGGCCTTGCTTTGATTTATTTAAAACAAAAACAATTACACTTTTTGAAAAAAGAAGAAAGGAGTGGATGCTTCTGAAAAGACTCTACATTCAGTGAACAGAGATTTTGCAGCCCAGCGAGTCTGCCCACGAGAAGGGGCGGGGGGCATTCCTCTGATCCCCATCAGCTTCCTAGCTTCCCACTCCAGGAGGGGCCATCTCCAGCAGGCATCTCCTAGACAGTTATTTTCCATAATTCTGTGAGGAATTAGAAAGAGGAACTAGAGAGAGGCCTGCCAACCCCTTTTATATCCCTCCATCTTTAAATTGTGGGCCTGCCAAGCTTTTACATGCATGCTTCCACCGACACAAAGGTTGGGTAATTTTCTATGCAGAGTCTCACTTAATTTATGTTTTCTGACTAAATGGGACTATGGGAAATAGTTTGAGAGCAATGAAATGTTTTATTAGCTTTAAAAAGTATGTAATCAAATTTAACACTGCACTTATTTAAATAATAATCTCAGCTTTTTGACAATATTTCTATTACACAGTTGACTGCACCCATTGGCTACAATAAATTTACCTACAAATCATTCATGTATTAAAATGGCCTGTGGCATAAAACCCATAGTGATCTCTCTCTCTTTCTCTCTCTCTGAAAAAAGAAAATATAACCCACTTTCACTAAGCAGTGAGAGAAGGAGAAAAACCCATTCACTGCCCTCCCCTCCTGCCAACGAGTTATTTCATAGGTTTGAGCCTTTGCAGTTACTTTTATGTAAAATTTTCTGGTGCTCCCATTCTTTAATATGATACTATTAAATGATCCAGACAACAGAGTTTACAAACCAAGAATGACCCTGTCTGCCTGTTAGCTTAATGTCAAGGCAATGTGAAATTAACTTTAGAGAATATAACACCAGCAATTAAAAGTTTCCCTTGCATTACCTAAAGCAAACACATGTGTGGTAGTCAAGGGGAACAGATATTTTCTCCTGGAGTTACCTTGCAAAGCAAGTCCGAATAAGATTCCATTGGAATTTAATGATAAAAGTCTATTTCATAATACTGGGAAAGATAAACCAGAGATTTCCTATCCTTTGAGATGTATATTGTCTCTTTCATCTCGTCACTGGAAAAATGTCAGACACAGTCAACACTGCATTAATTACCATTTTTACATCCCAGTTTAATATGGCACGAAGGGGTCAAAAAGGATTCTGCAAGCCTGACTTTTTCCTTTAAAGGCAAGAGAGTGGTATTTGATAGAAATTCAAACTCAAAATTAGACCAAACAAATGGTATTTTATAGTCAGCTCATATATTTAGTCCCTTCTAATGGACATTACTTCAGTTCTTGGTTTGCTTGTAGGAAATTATATTCAGAATGCAGAATTCCTTGCATTGCCCTTTGACTTGGCATACATAGAACTTATAAAACTTATTTCTGATAAAAATCAGTTAGATAACTGATTAAATAAGTGAGGTGGATGATAAGTAATTAAGGTATGGATCAAAGTCTCTGATGGTTTAATACCTGCCTTCCCACTAGTACCTAAGTTCCATGCAAGCCAAGATTATACCATGGAGTCAAAAGTATATAGGAAAAAAAAGTATATAGGAGGGTGGTTTGGATGGAAAGAAGGAAGAGAGAAAGAGGCAGAGAAATAATGATAGCAATGGAAAGTATAGAACCTGTAATTCTAAACTGAATTCTGAGTTACCCTACTGGGAAGGAAGAAGTGAACTGACCTTCCAAGCCCACTGTCCTTCCCTCAATTTTTATCGGCCATCTCTGTTTTCCTATTGTCCCTTCATACCTCAGTCTACTAGAATCTGCTTGTGCCATACCCACCCCCTCCAACTCCTTTTTCTAGAGTCGACAGTGGCTTTCCAATTACCAACCCCTATAGAAAGTTTTCTCTTGAATACTCTCTGTTCTGGCCCCTTCATCTCTATTCTCTCAGCTCCAGAGACTTCATCTCCACCTGTTTGTACTCTGTTTCTGCCTCCTCTATCCCTCATTTTGTTTTCACTTATCATTCTCCCAGTACTACCCAGATACTGCTGGCCTCCAGACCTGGGGCTCCAACCTTATTCTTTTGCCCTTACTGGCAGAGCCAAGTGTCCAGCTGTATGTCAGTTGCCTCTCACGGGACACTTCTTCATATCCTCAGACCAACAGACCAGTCCAACATGGCAGCTGTTTTCCTAAGACTGCTCTTTGTCACGCTATCACCTGCACCACTGTCCATAGGACTCCCAAGTTAGAAACATCGTCCCGAGACATCCTTCTTTGCTCCCAATCTTCTCAGCCCAAGTAATTACTGATTTTTTCCTGCAGAAATGACTCAGATTGAAGTGTTTCTGCACCTGACCACCCATGCGTATTTAACATAATAAATTTTAATAATGGTTCTACCTGCTCCTCAACCAAGTCATCCAGACTTCTTACAGGATTGTTGGACCCCCTTGCTTCGCTGTATGAAACTTGGTAAATATCATTTTACATGTAAGATTCCATGGACATGTCTATAAAAACATTTATGATTATGTAGGGCCAACTCTCTACATAAATGCTTAATCATTCTCCTCCCCCTCGTTGCTTCTCAGGGCTCATGGCAGGAATGACAACTCCCTGAAAAATACCACCAAGACCTTTATTCCAATAGGGCCAGAGCACTACTCCTTCCCATTTCTCCCTTGCTCATTTCCACCTAGGCTAGGAACACAGTTTTAGGATTATCTCTTGTTCTTTAAAAAAGATTTGTCTGACTATCCTCTGGTGCTCCCTCATTTCTATACTGTATTTCCAGAAAGCCTAAAAGTACATTTCCATTACAAACTTCCCTTTACTTTACTTCATGAAAATGCTAGACTTCACTTTTCTGCCTTTCATCTCTAGCTTTCTTCCTTCCTTTGCCTTGTTCTAGATAAGTCACTCCCTCCCCCATCAGAATAGAGTCACCTCACTCACTTTAACTCAAGACATTTGTCACTGGATCAAATATTATACCTCTCATCTTTAAACTGGACCTAAGGTATATATGAAAAATGAGTCAAATAGAGAAGCTGGCTTGTTATGGCAGGTACATAATCAGTCCACCTCATAGCTATACCTCAGTCTTCTTGACCTTCAACAACTATCTGGTTAAAATCCTTCCTAAGAAAACAATCTGAAAAAAATAACTTCAGAATATCTCATTGACAGGTTGGTGGTGTGCATGAACAAGGAGAAATTGAGTGAATATTTTTAAGGAACATATTCTGGGGGTGAATCTCTCAGAAAACCAAAGGATTATGATATTACCATGGCCTCCATTCAGTTTTGGCCCCAATTTTATATACCAATGAGAGCTCTAACTTTTATTTCATCCAAAGCAGAACCAGCCTCCCTGTCTATTCCAATGTGCAGGCTCAAGGAGTAATAGAGAACAGATCAGACATGAGGTCTCCCAGCACACCGGGTTGCCAAAGAGGTCCTGTCCTGAAACAGATTCTCCTGGGAACCTCATGGTCCAACAGCCTCAGGAAGGACGTGTTTCTCTTCCAAACACGAAAACTTTGGGCTAATGAAGTGAACCCAATTATAAAATGGCTCATTATGTTAACAGAGGCTTTGGTGTCTGGAAATTATTGCTGGGGTGTCTGGAATTCTTAATAAAAATTATAGGAAGTCTGATCACTTGAGGGGAAATCTGTGAAGTTAAGGGAAAAAAAAGAATTCTATCTTCTGGGGAAAATCCCTAAGAGCCAAGGGCTGACTCATCTTTTATAAGGTGTTAATCAGGAGGGAAAGGTGTGGTCCACCTTTGCTCCCTGAAGCTCTCCTCTCTTGCACAACAGAGGGTTCCACTGGGTATACCCCTGGCTGAGGTGCACACCTTTCCCCAAGGCTCTTGGCAGGAGTTAGAGGAGGGGCAAGGGAGGTTAGAGTAGGTCAAGCTTGCACTCTGGTTCACAGACTAATCTTCAAGAAAACACAAAATACAACGCCTCCATTCCATGCACTGCTCCTATATTTTCTGCAGCCAATCTTCCTCTCCTCACTTCACTTTGTAGCCTTCACCTCTTACTGGTTGCATTGTGTTGAGAAATTATTTCTTACATCTTTAAGAAAAAAATAAGACCAAGTGCTATGCACTACCTGGGAGTATAATGAGGATTCAGTGGAATTATTTCCTTTGGACCATAGCACACAAAATGAATATTTTATTATTTTATTATGTATGTATCTATTGCTATTAATCTAATATCTAAGCTATTATTTCAGCTATTGCTATTATCACAGTCATTCATTGTTCCTAAAATAATCAGAATGATAGTAGCTGAAATCATGATTTGTGAGTTGAGGGACTTCACAAGATTGCTCACCTTTCTGTGTCTCCATTTCTTTTCTTATGGAATGGAATAATAGTGTACATATCTATCATTATGTACACTATACATGAAGAGTGAACTAATGGTATAAAGAACAGTAAGCATGAGCATGTGTGGGAGTGCGTGCATGCACGCACACATGCGCGCGCAAACACAAACACACACACAGAGTTTGGATCAACTCTGACCTATCATGCCTCTAGGTCAAACTCAACTACAATTATAAAAGCCTGTTTTTTGAAGCAGCTTCAGGGTGATGATGAAATTGGATTCAAGGCTTAAGATGGCTTTGGAAGAAGGATTTTTGTCATCTCATTAAACCTAAGCAGGAAAGTGCTCTAGATAATCGTCTCCTTTAGTGAAACTTAGACCCTTGAATCTAGTTTAAAGTTCATCTCTTGTTAGGAAATTTAGCATTCTAATTTGACCATCTAAATGCCATTCACTACGCAAAGAGACATGGCATGCACATTCAAGAAGTTTCCTCCACAAGGTGGGGAGCAGGGATTAGGGACAGCTGGGAAGTACTGAGAAGACCCAGACTACATAGGTACTGAGAAAAAGCTGAGTTAACAGGTAAGACAAAGCAAAAAGAGCTCATGGATGGAAGCAATGGTGTTGAGATCCAGAGCAGGCAGGAGGTTCCAGAAGTTACAGTGTTCAGACTCAGAAAATTCCTCCATCTTCCAGTATTCTTTCATCTTCCTATATTCCAGTTTTACTTTCTTGGCTGGAGCGATAGCATAGCGGTAGGGCGTATGCCTTGCACGTGGCCGGCCTGGCTGAACCCGGGTTCGATTCCTCTGCCCCTCTGGGAGAGCCCAGCAAGTTACTGAGAGTATCTTGCCCGCATGGTAAAGCCTGGCAAGTTACCCATGCCGTATTCAATAGGGCAAACACAGTAACAACAAGTTTCACAATGGAGATGTTACTGGGCCCACTCCAGCAAATTGATGGACAATGGGAGGACAGTGCTACAGTGCTACTTTCTTAAAAGAGTATAGAAAGCAATGGCTTTAGGTAGAATATGGGCTCAATATTAAACATAATGGATCCCAAGTGAAAGGTTATATTTTTTATAATTTCTTTTAGTCTAAAAGGAATTATATCAAAAAGAGAGTTTCCATCATTGTATATACCTAATACTTGCATTTAATGCTGCTTCAAAAATGAGACCAGAATTCAGGTTCAGAGCTTTAGGCAACCATTTCATATTACTATATAATTCTTTATGATTTTAAAAATACTTTCTCTACAATAACATAAGACACTAATTTTTAGGTTCCTTCTGATTGTTCATCACTAAACCCAGTGGTGTTTAGGGGCTATTTATGCCTTTGTGCTCCAGCAGCTCCCAGAAGTCCTCTGGGTACCATGTGATTTCAGGAATAAAACCTAGGCCTCCCATATAATAAACATGTGTGCCAACTTTTGAGCTATCTCTCCAGTCCCAAATGACAATACTTTTTAAGGAAAGTTTTGAATTGATTTACAAAAGAAATATTAAGTACACAATATTTCAAGATATTGAAGATGTTATATGAACATGATACATGACTTTAAAAGGCAGCTCAATAACTAGTATGTGTTGGTGTGGATAGAGACAGACCTGGCTGAGATTTTTTTTTTAAATTGTTTGTTTTTAGTGAAGCAAGGAATTTTTTATTAAACGAAAAACTTGCTTAGAAAGATCTCAGAGGAGAAAAGGAGAGAAAATATGTGTTCAATAGAGAAAATGGGTTGAACAAGCAAGGAAGGCATTCAAGGGAGAATGTGAGCTTGAAGAGTAAGTCGATTTAACTGAGATTTTACATAACATCTCACTATTTCCTTCAACGTGACTTGAAAACCTTAAGAACTTGAGATTTCTTATAAGAATGGCTGCAAGGCTATAAAATCAATACCCAAAAGTCCATGGCTTTCCTATACTCACATAGTGAAAGAGAAGAAAGTGACATGAAGAAAACAATCCCGTTCACAACTGTGCCCCAGAAAATCAAGTACCTAGGAATCAGCTTATCTAAGGAAGTAAAGGACCTGTACAAAGAAAACTACAAAACACTACTTCAGGAAATAAAAGAGGACAGGAGGAAATGGAAAAATATCCCCTGTTCATGGATCGGGAGAATTAACATTGTCAAAATGGCAATACTTCCCAAAGCAATTCAATGCGATCCCTATTACGATATCCATGACATTACTCAAAGAAATGGAGCAAACACTCCTGAAATTTATATGGAACAATAAGCCCCCACGAAGAGCTAAAGCAATTCTTGGGAAAAAGAAAATGGGAGGAATCAACCTCCCTAACTTCAAACAGTACTACAAAGCAGTAATAATTAAAACAACATGGTACTGGAACAAAGGCAAAGCCATAGACCAATGGAACAGGGTTGAATATACTGACATCTCCCCCATGCATATGATCATCTAATCTTCGATAAGATGGCAAGAAAAGTGAAGTGGAGCAGGGAAAGCCTCTTTAACAAATTGTGCTGGCAAAACTGGATGACTACATGCAAAAAAGTGGGCTCATCTCTCTGCCTAATGCCATGCACAAAAGTAAGATCAAAATGGATTAAAGACCTCAACATCAGACTGGAATCCATAAGGTTCATTGAAGACAAAGTTGGCAAAACCCTCCATGACATTGAAGCTAATGGTATCTTCAAAGATGTCATGCCACTGGTCAAGCAAGTGAAAACAGAGATAGACAAATGGGACTATCTTAAACTAAGAAGCTTCTGCAACTCAAAAGAAACAGTGACCAAAATACAAAGACAGTCTACAGAATGGGAAAGGATATTCACCAAATACACATCCGACAAGGGGTTGATATCAAGGATATACAAGGTACTGGTTGAACTCCACAAGAAGAAAACATCCAACCCCATCAAAAAATGGGGCAACAAAATGAACAGAAACTTTCTCAAAGAAGAAATCCAAATGGCTAAAAGGCACATGAGAAAATGCTCCACATCATTAATCATCAGGAAGATGCAGGTCAAAACAACGATGAGATATCATTTCACACCACAGAGACTGGCCCACATCCAAAAGAAGAAAAGCAACCGGTGCTGGCGCAGATGTGGCGAGAAAGGGACCCTTCTTCACTGCTGGTGGGGATTCCGACTGGCTCAGCCCTTTTGGAAAACAGTATGGACGATTCTCAAAAAATTAGAAATTGAGCTCCCATTTGACCCAGCAACACCACTCCTGGGAATATATCCCAGAGAGGCAAAAATGTACAGTCGAAATGACATCTGCACTTGTTTGTTCATTGCAGCACTCTTTACAATAGCCAGAATCTGGAAAAAACCTGAGTGCCTGAGAACAGATGACTGGTTAAAGAAACTTTGGTACACTTACACAATGGAGTACTATGTAGTTGTTAGAAAAGATGAATTCATGAAATTTACATACAAGTGGTACTACATGTAAAGTTTCATGTTAAGGGAAATGAGTCAGAAAGAGAGGGATAGACATAGAAAGATTGCATTCATCTGTAACAAATGATTGCATTCATTTGTTACATTCATAAAGTAACAAAATAGGAGACTAACACCCAAGAGTGGCTGAGATTAGTACCAGGAATTTTGCTCCATGGATTGGAGGCCAGCCACACATGCTAGGGGAAAAGGGAGCTCAAATAGAGAAGGGAGCACCAAATAAAGGCTGTTAGGAGAATCCTCTCAGGATGGGAGAAGCATGCTGAAAGTAGACTATAGACCGGACATGATTGCTACTCAATGCCTCTTTTGCAAACCACAACACCCAAAAGGAGAGAGAGAACTAAAGGGAATGCTCTGCCACAGAGGGAGGGGGGGATGGGGGCTTGGGGGGTGGGAGGGATACTGGGACCCGTGGTGGTGAAAAATGGGCACTGGTGGAGGGATGGGTACTTGACCATTGTATAACCGAGCACGAAAATTTGTAAGTCAAAACTGTACCTCATGGTGTTTCACTAATACAAATTTTTAAAAAATGGCTGCAATAACACACAGTTATCAGAGGAGGATCTGGAGGCATGATGTGGGTAGTGTCTGATGCACAAAGCCTGAGAGTGCTTGGCAAATGTTATCTGTAACAGTTACACGAGGAGGCACTGTGTCTTGTACCACAAAATGGTGCTTTCTTGAACAAGCATTTTCTTTACTTCTCTCTTTGCATCCAACTCTCTGAGAGGTGACTTGTCTGTTGGCTGGGGTTTATCAGCTGACTTGCTAGGACAAGTTTGCTGTGACTTAGATAACTGGTTGATCCATTCTCTCACTATTCTTACAACCCTCTGTCAGAAAGGTAAGCAATGGGCTTGTCCTTGTCCTCACACTTGAGTGTCCTACCTAACACATATAACCTTGCCTCACAGTCTTTCCCTCATTCCTTGAAATGACAAGAAAGCTTTCTTTTCTTTAAGATGTCAGAGGATCCTGGTATGTGCTGGTTCAATAAGTCACATAGTGTTCCATCTGCAGGGTCTTCTAGGTCAGTCACATTTCAGTAGACATGAAGCTTGTGGGATAATCTCAGAGAGGAAAGGAATCAACCTTTCCAACTGGGACCATTCTAAATGGAAGATGGGATGTGGGACTCTGGAGACCAGGATGATACTGTATTGTCAACTCAAATATTATCTTTGCTTTTAGTTCAGGGCAGTAGTCGATGCTTCACAGAAGTTTACAATCAAGTTTTGCCATTTTCACCTTTGGAGGAACAAAGGATTTGAGGGACTTGCATACACTCAGCTCCTTCTCCAAGGATCTTATAGTCCTGATATATCTGTCTCCTTGAGCACTGAACATTACCTTTCTCCTGCTGAGACCCAGCCGGTCAATGAACCCTAATGACAGTGGAAAATTGGTCTTCAAACCCTGGGTGGTAAAGGAAGCTTTCTGTCTCATAATCCTGGCCCAAGAGCCTGTCTCCCTCCAGATGTGGCCAAAAGGAGCCCTTTCCAGCCTGTGCATTGGCCACAAAAATAGGGCAATACAGTCTACTTAGACATTGGTTCCTGATGAATCATTAAGTTGGTGCATTACCTTGTATTTGGGGATGGTCTTCAGAAGTTCCTTCACAGGGACATCCGTGCCCACCACGCCCAGAAGAATTCCCTTTGATCTCTGTTAAATAAAAAACATTCAACAATAGCAATAACAGTTACTCAGTGGAGAAAATAGAGGCTTGTGAGAAGCCACACATAGCAAAACAAAGATCACTGTCCTCCCATTGTTCATCAATTTGCTCGAGCTGGCCCACTAACATCTCCATTTTGAGACTTGTTGTTACTGTGTTTGGCATATTGAATACATCACAGGTAGCTTGCCAGGCTCTCCGAGAGAGGCAGAGGAATCGAACCCAGCTCTGCTGGGCTGGCTGCGGGCAAGGCAAATGCCCTACCACTGTGCTATCGCTCCAGCCCATAACAAAACAATATCTTGTATATTCTCCAAACTGGTAGTGATTGAAGATTAATGCACATTTCCAAAACAAACCTATTGCCATTCCCCTCTCCCCCTCATCACTGAAAATATCACTAAATACACAACAGGCCAAACACTGTCTATTTAAACCTTCGTTACACATCTGGATTGAGAAGGACATCCGAATAACCATTCTCATTTTGCACCTGAAAATTAGAAACTGAGGTGAAGAAGTGCAAAAGTATCCAACTGCTTAAGTAAGAAAATGATCATTAACAAGTTTTTCTTAGAGATCTTTTTATAGGAAAGACTTAACATGTCACTATGGTCTCAATTTATATTGCCATCTGGTGCCCAGGAGAGAGATAGGACTGCTAAGGAAGGAAGAGACTTCCAGTCCTCAGGTTGTTGTGATATGCTAAAATTTTCCAGTTTCCAAATAGTTTTCCAGAAGATGATATAAGTAATTAATGTTCATTGCTTCCTCCAAAGTCAAGTGTACCCAGAACTTCAGAGGGTTACCTTATTTGGAAACAGGGCCTTTGCAGATAAAATTAATTGAGTGGGAGTTCAGGGTGAAATCATTCTGGATTAAAAACAGATTCCATAGCCAATGCCTGGTGCTGTCTTTATAAAAAGAGGAGAGGACACAGGGACCCACAAGAAAAGAAAGTCACGTTAAGACAGAACATTGTTGTTATATCGCCCAACTGCAGGCACACCTAGGCCCGCAAAAAAAGGTGGAATCTTCCCTAGAGGCTTTGGAGGAAGCATGGCCCTGCCCATTCCTTGTTTTGAGGTGTCAAGCCCTAGAATTGTGAGAATCAGCTTTTATTGTGTTAAGCCACCCTGTTTGTGATGCATTGTTACCAGAGTCCTTGCAAAGGAGTGCCTAGGCAGGTAACTGCAAGTTAGAGAGACGTCATTCCACCACAATCAAGGACTGTCTCTGGTGGTTCCCTTTCTCTCACCATTTGACATTTCCATCTCAGCAAAGAGTTGTTCACTGTCAAAGGGGGCATATTTGAATTCCCCTGTGTGCTAGATTTCATAATTCCAACAGTAAGACTGAACGTGAGGAAAAGTTCTGTAAAAGTTAATAGATCAGTCATCATAAGATGTCACCAAGCTTGCTCCCGAAAGACCGAGTGCACAACCCTCCTGGTCTCAAGCAGAAAGCACACCCATGTACTCACGGTTTCATTCTGTTTACTAAACACGGGCATGGCGACTGTGGTCATGAGGACAAGGCCCTGATCGTCAGCAAGCTGGATGGAGAGAGAAAAGCCAGTCATAGGAGAACAGACTGAAGTCACAGTCCTGCAGACTCTCCCTGGGGCCTCTTTTCCTTGCTATCTTGGGTGGTGGGGAGTGATCCAGTACCCACTCAGTCTGTAGCCTCGGTGGCAGTGGGGGCCTTTCTTCTTTCACTTTGGCTTGCAGATGAGGTCCCCAGCACAAAGCTAGACAAGTCAGTTACTGTGAATCAGTCCTGTGGATCTGTTGACTGAATTCAACCATTTTGATTCAAATAAAGCCTTGATTGACTCTTAATGACTCATTTTATTTTACTGCCACAGATTGTTTTTACTATTTTATTTGCAGACATTTATGTTCAATCTGTGTAATATTAATGCAGTTCCTTAATCTGAAAATTGAGGATCAGAAAGCAGGATTGTATGGGATTTTTTATGAGTTGCCTCGGCTGGAAACAATGGAATCTGGAAGCATTTATTCTCCCCAAGGTAGCTGAGTCAAGGCACTTTTGGACTTCTACAGATCTCTGAATGCCAGCCCCAGATGGAAAGCAAAGCAAAACAAAACAATAACTTGATTATCTGATCTCCCAATTACTCCCAAGAAGTTAAACATCTACCCTTGAAGAACTCTTGAAACATGGCACACAAAATACATTAACCCTGTGAAATGCCTCTAAAGATGCATCAGAAGACACGATGTAAAAAAATGGTGCGAATAGGCATGAACTCCTACTTTTCAATGAGAAATGAGGAAACAGAGTCCCAAACTCCAATAAGAATTTGGTTTAAGACCAGTCCCGTTCAAATCTCAGCTTTGAATCTTTATGAACTGCATTAGCTGAGTGTTGAGGTCCTCACATGGAAAAATGCATTAATGCCATGAAAATAAAATGTAAAACTGTTCAACATGATATCAGATATATGGAAATCTCCAAGAACAATAATTTCAATTCTTTGCTTTCAAGGCAACATGACCAGTAAGGCGCAGCGTCCAGCTGAGATCAAGTCACATAACATCTGTTAGATAAAAAGATAGGCAAGGAGTCTGATTGGAAGGGACAGTTTCTGATTTCATAGAACAGTCAAGACTCAAATGAATCAGTTTGCAAATGGAAATCAAGTCTCTTCTGGTTAGGGTATTTTCTGATGTTTGAGCATTTATCTATCACTATAGTCCATAAAAAAAATTTCAGTTGTTATTCTCTTAATTCTTTTGGGAAGAGGCATGATAAAAAAATCCTAAAAAAAAATAAGTGTCTGAAGTATCCATGAACTTGTTTCATGAGTAAAGATCATTAATCTCCTTCCATTCTCCTCCAATCATATTCTTTAATATTCCTTGAGCTCTTGTGCCTCACTGCTTATATCGTGGTATCTAAGATAGCAGCAAGGTAGCATGAGTATATTAGAAAATCATGGCTTCAAGTCCTACTCCACACCTCCAAATCAGAATTTTCATATTATTCTGCACATTAAAATTTGAAAAGCATTGTTAGAGGACAGTCCTTTCCATGTCACCCTCTTAAATAATCACTGAAGTAAAGAGAAGCTGCCAGCTATTGGGAAAAACTCTAACAAGGAGGATAGGGCCATGTTTCTATTGTTTCATTTGTTTTTCCCCACAAATACATACATATAAAAATATGTACAAAAAGATAAAATATATATATACATATATAAATATATACACATACAACATACACATACAATGCCTTTGTTTTTTCTACAATTGTATCAAGGCTATGGCAAGCAAGATGAGGTCAGAATCTCATGTCCTTCAAAGACTGAGAATTCATAGTGATGGCTAATATTTGTGTGTTCTAACTTGGGTAGGCCACGGTGCTCCAGTGTTGATCAAACAGCAGAATAGATGTCGCTTGTCAAGATACTTGTAGAGGAAATGAACATTAAAGTTAGTAGATTCCAGAGAAGCAGTTTATACTGTAAAACATGGGTGGGCCTCATCCCATCTATTGAAGGTCTTAAGGAAAAAACAAAAACAGGTTTCCCAAAGAAAAAGAATTTCTTTCTTCAGTCTGCCTTCAAACTCAAAACTGCAACATTACCTCTTGATGGAATTCCCAGTATACCAACCTGCCCTCCAGATTCCGGACATGTCAATTCCCATAAGATCATGAGGCAGGCAATTCCTTAAAGCAAATTCTCTTCCCCTCCCTCTTTCTCACCCTCTAAATAACTATATATCTATAAATATTGCCAAATACACATGGCAATCTTGTAATCCATTATTTATAGTAGCCTAATTTGATGTCGTAATAAGTAAGTAAACTTGCTTTGACATTGTATTAAGAACCAAAAAATGTTAACTATGAAATGACGTTGACAGATATGGTTCCCAAGAATCAAATCAAGCAGTAAATATAAATTTATTAAAGTATGACTCTAACATCCCATCAACATCAAAATTACTTAAAAGTAACTATGAAGTAACTATGGCCATCAATGGGGTTGTGTAAAGCCACTTCCTATAGCTGAGTCATTTGGTCTCTTAGAATCACATTTTGACCATATTCTGCTCCTGGATTATTCCTTAGTGCTATAAAGAAAGCTGCTTTGAGTTGATCTATAACCCCAAGAAACTTCCACTTTGAAACTCAAATAAAAATCGTAAGCAAAGCCAACATGTATCATGGATGAAATCAAAACATACCACTGACAATAATGAGAAATGAAGCTTTTTCCCTGCAATGAGTAAAAATCAGTTATAAATCACGGGTAATTGTCCTGGCACAGACACAAGATTATAGGAAACTAACTTCTAAATATTAAGCTGGAATACTGTATCAACTTCACTCAAGAGCTAATTCCAAATGTAATTATTGCATCATTACTTTTAGAAGGAATCCTATAATATGGCATTTGTATACCAAATTACTCATTTGTAACCAGGACCGGGTAAACAGAGAAAATGCAGTAAGTTCAGCAGCACTCACTGTGTGAGCTCATGTACACCTCTTCTAGCAGGAAAGTTACTGCTGGATTTGGGCCAGAATGGCCAGAACTCTGACCTGTAGCTTTCCTGGTTTATACCAGCTCATCAGGACAGCTGTAGGGGCTAGCAGCACTCTAGAAATACCATTTGCACAGTATTAAGATGATCTCTGCACCCCCAGCGTCATCTTGCCTAGTGTGCACAGGTCTCGGTTCTGGGCTTCTTAATCTTGCCACGGAGAAGAAACATCAATTTTGAAAGTTAATTTGCACTGTAAGCACTTTATGATAGAAAGACATTCTATACTACTGCCATAGGAAACAGCAGCTAGTGGGGCAAACATTTTTTTCCAGACCACCATGCAGAAGTTATGCAGCCAACCACAGGCAGACACCCACTGTCTCCAAGTGCTAGGGAGTCCCTGCTTTTCTGAAGTACCCTAACCTGTAAAGGCTGCAGGGAGGCGGGAGGAGGGAGGCTGCTCATGATTTATACGCATAGCTTCCAAGAAAAACTCAGACATAGAGTCAACATCCCTTTTCCAAGGAGTAGGAATGGGAGAGGGGGTCACCATGGTCCATCTGGGCAAAAACCCATTTACCTAAGTCCAAGTGGGAATCCTAAAATGAACTGCCATTTAATTACACTTGCCCAGGCTTTGAGCTCGGTTGTGGTGCTCTGTTGTATAATAAGTGTATATTATTCCATATCCTTCATTTCCTTTGCTACAAAATGGGGACTGTTCTCGTATCAAAGGAAATGATGAATAATAATACCAAACATCTGGTTTATAAAACACAAACTTGCTCAACAGATTGACTGCTTCCTGTCAGCTTCCCAAGTTAATCATGCATATGGACTCCTATGAATATGCATTTTGACTCATGTGCAAGATATAGGCAGTGATGCCAGGACTCCCCTCCTAAAGCTTGATTTGTTTCCCGTCCATGGCACTGCACTGACCCGATAGGATAACAGCACCAGGCTTGTGTGGTCTATCAGTTCTGCTGTTCACTGCATCATTACTATTCATTGATTCCCTTGAGAAACATTCCTTGAATTGAGCTATGTTCCAAGTTCCATGCCATATGTTGGGAAGAAAATGAGGAATTAGGAATAAGACATCAGTTCTACCTCTAAGGAGGCCTGAGTCCAGCAGGGAAAATAGACATGCCAATGAGCCAGAGTCAAGAAAGCTGAAGGTTGGTGCATTGACTATCTTCCTGAGGTTAGCAGGAGCTACATTCAAATGATCCATCATTTACTGGTACCTGTCAGGGTTGACATGACAGATCTAGAATGCTTCCTGAAAACCAGCTTAACACCTGGAACAAATGATATACAGCTGCTCAGCACATTTACCCACTTACTTTCTACTTAAGGATCTTTGTAAAGGAAGCCATGTGGGAGGAGACTTTTTGAAAAATGTACCAACACCTTTCTTTGTCTTCTTTTGCAAATATCACCCCTTCCTTCCTTCCTTTAGAAAAATCCTCTTCATTCCTGATACCCAGACTGAAAGATACTCTCTCTCTTTCTTTCTTTCTTTCTTTCTTTCTTTCTTTCTTTCTTTCTTTCTTTCTTTCTTTCTTTCTTTCTTTCTTTCCTTCTCTCTCTCTCTCTCAATAAACTTCCTAGAAGGTTTTCTTATGTGCAATCTGGAACTAACAGAACATAGAACAAACTTTATGCTCCTTTTGAACACAGTTCGTCAGACATGTAATCCTGACAACCCCTTCTCTCCCAGCAGAGAGAAGGAACCGAGAAAAGAATCAGAGAGAAGGTGTGTGTGTGCGTGTGTGTGTGTGTGTGTGTGTGTGTGTGTTTGTGAGAGAGAGAGGGAGAGAGAGAGTGGGGGAGTGTTAGGAAGGTTAAAGGCAGTGAGGATAAAGAACACAAGGAGGTGAGGGAGTAAAGAAAGAAGGGTGAAGGGGGGACATAACAAGTCCTTGATACCTTTATTCTTTTTCTTGATACCTTCATTCTTAAGATCAATATTTTAATTTTAGGTACTAGGACAATGGTGGAGGGGAGTGGATGGCCTAAGGTCAATTTA